CCGGCAGGAGTCTCAACCTATTCTTAAAATGAATGGGCAGTTTGGATCCAAGGCAAATGTCGTTGAGACGACTAAGGCCAAAGGGATTAAAAAGCGGAAGATTGATAAGAATGTCAACTCCAAGAAATTCAAGGGGAATTGCTACGTTTGTGGCAAGGCTGGACATCTGGCGAAGGATTGCTACCATCGCAAGGAAGGTGCCTAGAAGAAAATTGGGAATAAGACCCAAGCTCATGTAGCTGAAGTAGAAGATGGGGAGTCTGAGTTCGTAGCAGTTGTGTCAGAAGTGAACATGGTCGGAGATAATCCGAGAGAATGGTGGATTGACACTGGAGCAACCCGCCACATTTATGCTAACAAATGGATGTTCACCACCTATGACACTGTCACCGGAGAAAGTTGCTATATGGGAAAATCTGCTGCATCCAAAGTGGAGGGCAAAGGTTCAGTCATTTTGAAGATGACATCTGGAAAGAAGCTGACACTTACTGAGGTTCTTCATGTGCCAGACATTCGTAAGAACCTGCTCTCTGGGTCTGTGATGTCAAAGAAAGGCTTTAAGCTAGTTTTTGAGTCTGAGAGAGTTGTAGTGTCAAAAGATGGTGTGTATCTAGGTAGAGGTTATCTAGCAAATGGTATGTTCAAGATGAATGTAATGACCATTTGTGACACCAATGCGGCAAATAATATAACCGCAAATGATATTAATAAAGCTTCTACTTCTTCTGCTTACTTGAATGAGTCAAGATTATGGCATGGTAGATTAGGACATGTGAATCTTAAGTCTATGCAAAGATTAATGTCTTTTAATCTGCTACCAAAATTTAAATTAGACAAAGACCACAAGTGTGAAGTCTGCGTTGAAGCGAAATTTGCTAAGTCTTCGTTTAAAAATATTGAACGAAGTACTGAACCTTTGGAATTGATACATACAGATGTATGCGATTTGAAATATGTGCAAACCAGAGGTGGAAAGAAGTACTTCATTATTTTTATTGATGATTGTACTCGGTATTGTTATCTCTACTTAATGAGAAGTAAAGATGAGGCAATAGAGATGTTTAATTTCTATAAAAATGAAGTTGAAAATCAACTTGGAAAGAAAATCAAAGCTTTGAGAAGCGACAGAGGAGGTGAATATGAGTCGCCTTTTGCGCAATTGTGCGCAGATCATGGCATCATCCATCAAACTACGGCCCCTTATACGCCAAAACAGAATGGCATTGCTGAACGCAAGAATAAAACGCTGAAAGAGATGATGAATGCTATGGATCTACTCAGAACTTGTGGGGGGAAGCAGTGATTTCTGCTAACTTTGTATTAAACAGAGTGCCCCATAAAAGGCTCGACAAAACGCCCTATGAGTTGTGGAAAGGCAAATCACCTAGCTACAAATACTTGAGAGTATGGGGTTGTCTGGCTAAGGTTCCTATCCCTATTCCTAAACGAACTAGGTTAGGACCAAA